AATTTTAAATGTACATCTTGGTTAGGTTATTTTGATCTATATTTGCGTACCAGCGTACCTATATGAATTTATTATAATGTTTTCTGTTAACATCGATTTCAAAATATTTTGATTTTTAAATAAAGTGATGCTTTATGCGATTATGTTGATCACAATGAAACTATTGAAACTGGTCTGGTTTTTATCACATACGTTCATTTTTTGTATAAAGTTGGGTGCGTCAATATAGTTCTGCCAGGCGAAACAGGATTAATAGGCACAGGTGCTGAAAAGAATGATGACCAGTGCCATTACCACTAAATTGAATCACTAATAGAAAATCAATTTGTTGTATTTTTTTTATTATTGAAATGTATCACTGAATCAGTATGGACTATGGATTAATAAATTACTAATTAAATATTACATATTAGAATGTACAATAATTAATATCTATCAAGCAATATGAATTACATAACGTTATACGTTATATTATTATGATTATACGACCTTTATTGATACTCACGCTAAAGAAGCCGCTTAGCCGGTGCTAAGTATTTTGCCACCCTGTGCAGTTAAAAAAATGCCGCCCCTTTCAATAGCTTTTGCCATATAATAATTAGTACATAGTATATTATTTATACAAAATCCGCCGTAGGGTTGCCATACGTCCCGGAAAACCGGGACTGTCACCGGTTTTCGACTTTGTGTCCCGATGTCCCGAAAAATGTTTTCGGGACGCCTATATGTCCCGGTTTTAGGAGAAAATGTGTTTAATTTTGACAATTTTTTTTTCATATATTAATTGAAATCGAGAGTCAAAATGTTATTGTTAGAGATACCAAATAATTGATAAATCCATAAGCTAAATATAAAATAATATCGTGAATATTCGAGGACAACAAACGAGTCGTGTGCACTGTGCAGTTTACGTTTTATTTTTATATTCGATCGATCATCAATACGTCCATATCCATACGGGTGATACAGAGGCAGACTAATGACTTATATCAGTAGAATATACTACATAGGTCGTAGCCTAGATTGTTCGTTTTTATTATTTTATTTGTTATTATGGCACCAAAAAGAAAATGTCATTTTCGTGACGAATTTTATATTGTTAAATATTATTAAACAATAAATAAAAAAAAAAAAATACATTGTTCATTTGTTACARTAATAAAGTGTATAAGTTATAACACTATAGCCTATAGTGTCATTTTTTTAATATGGCTTATATAATTTAATGATATTTAATTCTAAATGCATTTACTATTTTTCTGTCTGTCCCGGTTTTATTTGATGAAATTATGGCAACCTAATTATGTAACAAAATTAACAAAATTAATTATAAACTAGGCTAAATTACATTTTAAATTGTTACAATTGATAATATTTTTTGCGGTCGCACGTGCCTTCCGCCGGTCCTGCTCACGAATATTTAGATAAGGACATAAATAAGATTAAACAAATAAATGGATGCTGGGATGCCTATTATTATAAATAAGTCTAAAGTAAATAATATATTATATTATAATAATTACTTAATTATTTTCATTCTGTATTTAAACTTAAATTTATTACAAGTATAATAAATATTTTAAATTGAAA